ACAGCAGACTCATTAATTGTTTCCAGCATTTTAATAGCAGTCTCTGTGCACTGAGGCTAGCAGCTTTTTCCCGCTTTTTTTTGTGCCATTCTTCTGATACTTTTTTTTTCTCTTTTTTTCCCTTTTTTTTTTTCCTCCAAATTTGACCCAAGCTAATTTCTGCCTGTGGGAACTAAAACATGAAACATAAGTGGCTTTTTGCCATCTATTTTATTAGAACTTGAAAAGAGAAATCCCAGTCAGTTCTGACATCCACATAATTTTCATTTTAGTGAATACTAGAGCTCATTTTTTTCTGGTACCCTCCACTTGTACAGAGTTGTACAGAGAAAGCACATAAATGTACAAAGCAGCTACAATTTCTTTTTAAACTAATAGTTTCAAATCTCTGCTGTGTTTTTGGATAGGATATATTGGTCAAAGCATAGGAAATCTTTATGTAATTTTTTGTAGGTAGAATAATCATACCAGATATAATGAAGGATCTTGTTTTTAAGTTAAACTTACATATTTAGGCTAAGAAGCTATAGGGTTGTCAGAATGAAAGGATTTAACTTGAATCCCAATTATTGTATTTTTGGAACATGAATTCTATCTAGAAAAAGAACATGACTGTGCATTAACTGGAATTCTCAGATTAACACCTCCTGAAACACATGGCCAATTTTAAGCAACTACCTGTGAATTCTTTTGTTTAAAATTCTCTAACATCCTTTCTGAAGTACTCGTTCACTGTCAATCCAAATATACCAGCATGTCCAAATGAAGCACTATCCTGACTCACCACAAAGATTCTGCAACAACTGGCCTATGTGCTCAAGGAAGTCTCACAAATTTGTTACCATTTTCAGCCTAGGTTTCAAAAATTACCTCACTCCCTCCTCAGTTCAGATTTGGGATATGAAGGTCTTAAATGCTAAACTGCACATGTCTGAAACCTTGTTCTTTCAGCGGCAAGATATACAGATCTTCGTCATGCTAAAGAAATAATAAAGACAGTAACAACCTCTTCTATTACTACCCTTCTTTTTTAAATATAGTTAGGATAAAAGCTTTCAAGGGCTCATTTTCTAAGTGCAATTAAGTAGTCTTTTATCGAACCAGGCTACCAAAAGAGATTTTATTTGGGGGGGGGGAGGGGGACGTATCTACCAGCAGAGTACTCTAGATTTCCTGCCCACTTTTCTGGGCCAAACGTGACCCATTGAAGGAGGGCTTGCACGGTGGCTCTCTCAGGTTTAAAACAGGAAGGTTGTCCCTTCGCCTATGGATAAAAGAGCAGCTACCGCGGTACTCAGTGCTGCCCGCCGGCCGCAGCATTACACACGGCTGGGGGAAGGGACTGTGACCGTTAACGGCCGCGCCGAGCGCACCCCCGCC